CATGTTTTTAATTGATTCTTAAAAATACCCAGCGAGGGAGCCCCGCGAATCCCAGGAGGTAGATTGTTCCATAGGCGAGGAGCCACCACCGAGAAGGCCCGATTTCTTGTCTTCTCCTTCCCGGCCTCATCCTTTTCTGTTTGAGTCAGGTGGCGTGTATTCCTTTTTACATCCATTTGATCTGTTTCACCAAAAGTATAAATTGGAGATGCCCAGTATTACTGAAGAATCTTTCACTTTGTGTATGTATGTATGTATGTATGTATGTATGTATGTATGTATGTATGTATGTATGTATGTATGTATGTATGTATGTATGTATGTATGTATGTATGTATGTATGTATGTGATTGATTGATTGATTGATTGATTGATTGATTGATTGATTGATTGATTGATTGTCCCCTCCACACTTACCACCACAGCAATCAAGCTTATTGTGATCAGAAGTTTTTGTCTGGATCCTCACTTCCTTCCAGGTGGGGAAAGAGAGGAGAAGAGAAGGAGAGATGGGGGAAAAGAAGGAAGGTGTATTTACCATTCTCCTTGAAAAATTTACTCATATGGGGAATGAGAGAACCCAAGTGTGGGGCGCGGTTGGGTTGATGCCTCTCCTGCATCAGCTTTTCCTGCTCAAGGAAAGATCATCAGAAACACGATCAGCTCTGAGACTATTTTGCAATTTCTGGTTTCCCAATCTTGCCAATGAGGCTTCCACTTCCCCCCACCATGTCCACATCCTTCCTTGAACTCTCCCCAGCTGAGCCTGTTTGCTGGCGTTTAAAAGAGCCGGCACCCTGGCCGGACGCCGGACTCCACAGCCTGCCTTGCACCATGAAGTCCATTGGCCTTCTCCTCCTGGTTGGGCTTCTCGCCTTCTGGGCTGAGCTGACCCCCACCTACGGCCAGCCAGGTAAGAGACCCCTCCTCTCTCACTGATGAGACCCTTGCCTGCCCATACAGAGGCAAGTTCTCCTGTGATGCTCTGAAAGGAGCTTCCAGCTGGACCCCTGCTTTCCCTGGCCCGGACCTTTGCCCCAGGGCCTTCTCCCCTCACGCCTCCCTTCTCAGAACCTCTCCCTAGAGGCCGCAAAAGGAAAGGGCCGTCTGCCCGTGGCCAGACTCTGCCTACAGCTGGTTTTACTCACAGAAATTATTGTAAATTGGAATAAGCAGTGATAGCATCATCAGGATCAAGAAAGACAGGGGAGGGTGGAAAACCCTCCCCAAAGTCCTATGAGCCCTGCCCCAGTCCTCTGAAGTCCCCCAACGAGTGGGAGACCCTCTGTATCCCCAGGATGGCAAGCTTTGGCTCCTTCTCATCCTGACTGCCACATTTGGCCCTGCCAGGGGTTTCTGGTGAGCTTTCACCCCAAATGCCAGGGCTATTGTTGTTGCTGTTGTTATGTGACATCAAATTGTCTCCTTCACGTGTCAACCTGCTCCGTCCTCAACAGCCCTGTTTTGTTCTTGCCCTCTTTCCCTGCTGCCTTCCACTTTTCTCACCATTATTGTCTTTTCCAGAGAACCCTGCTTTCTCATGATGTGCCCAAAGTAGGACAGACTCATTTCAACATTTTTGCTTCCAGAGAGAGTTAAGGGTTAATTTGATCTAGAACCGACTTGCTTGTTTTTCTGGCAGTCGCGGATATCTGGAAAGCTCTCCTCCAGCTTCACATTTCAAACGAATCAATGTTTTATCTGCCAGCTCTCTTAACTGTCCAGTTTTCACATCTGCAATGATGATTGGAAATACAAGAGTGTGGATGATCTCCAATGACACCTCTTTACACTCAGTGACCTTTCCTAATTCCTTTATTGTTGCCCTTTTCTGTCAGCCCTCTGCCTTCTTGGCTGCAGTCTCCACTTGAGAACCGAGGTATACCAAACCTATAACTCTTTCAATTTCTTTCTTTAAGTTGTGCACTTCTTCAGTAATCATTATTTTGGTCTTCTTGGTATTCAGCTGCTATCCTGATTTGGCATGTTATTCTTTTGCTTTCCCTAAATCCCATTTTGAGTCATTGCTGCTCTCTACCACTAAGACAGTGCCATCTGCATATCTGAAATGACCAGTGATGATTCTTCCACCAATTTTCACTCCTCCTTCATCTGTATCTAGTCTGTCTGGTTCTTTAATGATTTCTCCAACTGACAGCTCTTTTAGAAAAAAGTCAAGTGCAAAATGCTACACTGAATTAAATGCACCCTCTTTATAAAGCTCATTAAGTACATTGAAATCCTGGACTTCTTTCCTCCAAAGTAAACCACCCTCAGAAAAGCAGCTATATATAGGAGTGCAAACTTTTAATACACATTTTATACACATTTTCTATACTACATAAAGTGTATACACAAATTTAACTTATTTGAAATTTAGTGTTAGAAATGAACTTTAAAGATATCATGACTTGTCAGAAAGATAAGTAAAGCAAATTAAGTGTGGACTCTCACTAGAAGCTAAAATAACCAAACAAAGGGTACTGTACTACAGTGGCATCATAAGAAGATAAGCTCACTGGAAAAGGCAGCAGTGTAGGAAAAAGTGCAATGCAGTAGGAAAAGAGGAAGACTGCACATGAGATGCATTGACTCAATAGAGAAACCCACAGCCTTTTGTTTGGTGCTGCAGTCAAAGTAGGACCAGGAGCAGAAAGACTGGGGTTCGGATTTTGGGATTAAACTATGATACTCTTGCCTGCTTTTGGGATGAGAAATAGCAAAATGTGATTGCTACACACTTCAAAATTTTGCTGTTCTCAGCAGAAACTGCAAAGCTAAATGCAGTGGAGATTAACTTTGGAAGGTTCCTTTTTTCATGGTTTTATGAAAGAGTCAAGTCTCTCTCTCTGTTATGCACACATGCACACACACAAACCCTCCCTCCCTCAATTTTCACCAATCAGTTGCTTCAGTTCAGTATGTCCATTTCCTCTCATTACATTTAAACAACCTTGATGAAGCCCCCCGTCCCTCTCTCGCACCTTTCTTCCAGCCTTAATTGAAGCTTTCCCTCCTCCTTGCATCAGTTCCTTTTTTCAGTTTTGAGTCAGTCTCTCTCTCTCTGTCACACACACACACTCACACACACACACTCAATTTTCTACATACATTTAAACAAGCTGATGAAGCCACACATCCCTCTCTTGCACCTTCCTTCCTGTCTTAATTGGAGCTTTCCCTCCTCTTGCTTTCAGTCACCTCCGGCGGAAGTAGTCATTCAAAAGCCGGATTGACTGCAGCCGTAAATGAAGCCGCCTTATCTCCAATCTCTAAAAGAGCAGATTTACAAGTGCCACAACCAAGGAAGGTAGCAGGGATACGTAGCTTACAGTTTGAGGTTTGGCTGCATGGAGTGGGGGTGGGGGCGAGGCTCTGTTCATTACTCCCAGGATTTTCATTTTTAGCCCATTTGGGGTAATTTACCCCTGTGCCCTGACCACTGCCCTAGACTCCTTCCGGCTCCATCCGTCTGTCTTCTGAGAAGGCGGCAGCAGAGTGGTAGCGAGCACAAGATTTGGAAGAAGGGAGGAGGTTTACCTAAGAGACATGGTGAAAATTACTGTTATGCTTCTCTAAAAGGTTTTTGATCTTTTTTCATCTTCCACTGTCCACTAAGGTTTTTCCACTATGTTCATCCTTTCAGTGAAGTTTATCGTGGCAACTCCTGGAAGGAGCCAAAGATCTCCAAGGGGTCCACTCATTGTTCCAGTGAGGGAGGGGCTGCTTCCGACTCGTCCAGTGAGCCTAGTGATTTCCCCCTCTTTTTCCCACAGCCATCTGCCTCCTTCCTAAGGTTGTAGGGAACTGTGAAGCCTACATTCCCCGTTATTATTACAATCCAGAGTCCAAGAAGTGTGAGAAGTTCATTTATGGTGGCTGCGGAGGGAACAAAAACAATTTTAAGACTTGGAAGGACTGTCATTACACCTGTGAAGGTAAGTGGGAAAACACGAAAGTCTCGGCTTATCTATGCATGGCAATTACAGTTGGTCTGGACTGGGCTAAAGAGGGTCGTGAGGGGGCCTGATATGTGATTTGGTACAGTCCTCGCATCCAAATGCCCTGTGGACCTCAGGAGACCCTCTTTGGTTCGCAGCAGCCTGGTGTCAATTGACAAATATTGGGAATTGGCTTAAGAAGAAAGGCAGTTCACGGTACTGGCAAATTAAAGGCTTCCTCAACCCCATCAAGGGTGGAGGGGCCAAGGAAATGAATATTTTATTTTAAGTATGCATTAGAGCAGTAAATATGTGGTGCATCAACTTAAAAAGAGCATTAGATGTGTGTATTATGAATTAGGAGCCACCAAGTTCCTTTTGTTTTTCACCCCAACTACATTGATCCAGACTCTTTCAGTGGGACAGCCAATCCCTTCCTCCTGTATTTCTGTGCAAGAATGTCTATTTGAGACATATACTGCAACTCCACCTCCTTTTTATTCTCTATGTTCTTTTTGAACAATTTATATCCTTCAGTTTCTGTATTCCAGTCATGGGAGTCATCCCACCAAGTTTCAGTTATTCCTATCAGGTCATGTTTACCCTCCTGAGCTAAGATTTCCAGATCTCCTTGTTTGTTTCCCAGGTTCCTGGCATTTATATATAGACACTGCAGTTTGTGTGATTTGCAGCCTGCTTTTCTGTGTACATTTTTATGAACATTATTATTAATAATGTTATTATTGATGCACATCCCCCCATTATAACTGTTCTAACACAGTCTGGGAGCAGCAAGAGAGAAGGCCCTCTCCTATGTTAACAAAGCTGTGAAGGTGGTGGTATCGAGATAAAGGTCTTTCCTGATGATCTTAAAAGACAGATTCATAAAAGGAGACGTGGCACTTGAAATAGCTTGTACCCAAATCATTTAAGGCTAAGTTAGAACTGGGACTTCAAATTGTGCCCAGAAATGGCCTGGCAGCGAGTAGAGCTGCTGTAACTGGGGAATTATATGTTCCCTGTAACAAGCCCTAGTTAGCAATCTGGATGCCATGTTCTCAAGTGGCTCCCCTCATGATATTGGCAAATTGACAGCCAGAGTCTCGCTTTGGTTCATTTCCAGCAATTGCTTGGACTGGAAACAAACCCAAATGGTGCCACCCTGCTGGCACAAAAAAAGGTAGAAGCCCCTGACAGGGGCCAGAAAGGTGCAGGCAAGGCCACTTTGAGGGGCAGGCTGGTTCACTCCAGGAAATACACCATCTGATTACTGTCTTAAGTGAACCATCCTGTCCCTGCAGGGGAGCACACAGTGGGGTCAGGGTACCACAAGCTCTTACCCAAGATTTAGTTACCTGAAAAGGAATGACTAAAGCCTGCCAGCATTTCTGTGGATTCAGGTCTGTTCATACCTCTATACAGGTTGGTGCCTTAACACTCTGGTAAATATTGAGTACGGGAGCAGGTTCTGCATCCCAACAGGCTCTCGTGGAGAGACCAAAAGTACCACATGAAGATGTGAGAGCTCTGAAGGTGTGGATTTCCAAACAGATACTATGATGTAGACCCTAGTCCATTTAGGCTGGCTCTGAATCTGTCCAGTACAAGTGGGCTGTTTTCCAAAACACAGACTCAAGGAACAAATCCATTGTTCCAACTGGTACACAGTGCACTCCAAAGTTCCAACACACACTGAAAGACTACAGAGAAGATCTGTTATCATGACCCGGATCTCTGTGGAGGAAGGAGATGACACAGTGGCAAACACTGGATCTCAAGCAGGAACAAAACACTTGGGGTCCACCTGGCAGGCTGACCTTCCTTGTGAGTTGGCATCCACGGGAATGTCAGTTTCCCCCAAAGGGGTCCTAGAAAAGAGTGAAGAGGAGAGATGAGTGTCCAACGTACCTTAGCATGAAGCCTAGGGACCCTCTCCTCTTGGAGGCGCTCACCGTTATCTAAACCACTGGTTCTTAACCTTGGGTTACTCAGGAGTTTTGGACTGCAACTCCCAGAAGCCTTCACCACCAGCTGTGCTGGCTGGGGTTTCTGGGAGTTGCAGTTCAAAAACATCCGAGTAACAAAGGTTAAGACCACTGATCTAAACGGTCAGTCTGTCTCAGGTCAGAAATCCTTTCTCCTCTTTCTCCCAGAGGAAAGATCCTTGAGGCTAACCATATCTAGCTTTTTCAACAGTTCTTCATTGGACTTGCTTTGCCGGCCACTCACCGTCCTGGCTGCCCACAGTCTAGCTAAGGTCTCATTAATGTGCCCAGAACTGGACACGAGGCTCCATATGTGGCCTTGCTAGCAGAGAAAGCAAAGACACTTTTCTTTATATATATATATATTTCAAACACCGATGATCTGACTCTGAAACCTTGCTAGTCCTAAGGCAACTGACACACTGGTCACTTCTATTAATGACAACACCGAAAATAAAGAAATCAGTGATGGTGTCAAAAATGGCCTCCTGCGTTTTGTAGTCGTTGCTCAGCTCCTTCCTCTCCTATGCTCCAACCTGGCTCCTTCACATCCCTGATCAGCTCAATTGTGTGGATAATCCTCAACATACTTCCTAAGGAGTAAACCTCATGGCCTATTAGCAGGATTTATTTCCGATGTTGGAGGCAGTAAAGAGCCACTTGGATCAATATCCAGGGACAGTTCTGTTGATCCACGAATACAGAAACAGGAGCACTTGAGGCTCCAAGGTCTGGAACAGGTACCTGCATGTCCTGGAGAGAAGGCACTTGCCTTCCTTCACCCTTCCAGGGACTGCTAGAGTGGCAGTGGGCTAATCAGATCAGAGAAGGGCCTCCTGTAGGGATAAAGCATCCATTGGGGTTGAGTGAGTAAAGTCCTCTGCCTTGATGGAGTCCTTCCCAGGTCCAGCTGACCTAGAGTGGAGATGGTTCTGCTCTGTGAGGACAAAGGGAAGCCAGGATCCGGACTGACCTGGCTGTGCACTGGGAGCATTCTGGGTTCGGAGGTGCACATGGCTCAAGTCTGCTTGCTCTGGTGTGCCTGTTCCCAGCAGACTCTCACAGCCATGTGGTCTCTCTCTCTCTGTGTGTGTCTGTGTGTGTCTCTGTTGTTTCTTGCAGAGAAGCCCGGCACCTGCCCCAAAGCACCTCCAGATCTCTTCACCATCTGCCTGGTGAAGTGTGAAAATGACTGGAAGTGCCCCGGCAAGGAGAAATGCTGCAACTATGCATGCTTGGTGGATTGCATGAGTCCTGTGTAAGGTAAGGAGGCCATTTACGCTGGGAAGCGGGCGGATGGATGGGTGGATGGGTAGGTGAGTCATTAGCAATGAGCTGGGGGTGGAGAAGGTTCTCTTTCACTGCAAAACGGTCTTGAGAAGCCTCAGAACATCAGAACAGTTCTCTAGTAATACTAGTATTTTTTTAAAAAAAAAACCCACAGAGAACAGGATAAAGCCATTGAGAAAACTGTAGACATACACTCTTTTCCCCCCAAAAGTGTATAGGCTATTAAAAAGAATAAATAGAATAGGAGGAAAGAAGCCAGAATTTTATCCGGTTATGGAACAATCAGAAAAAGTTCAAGATATGAAATCAGTTTCTTAGTGTTAGAAAACTCACAGGAAAATCAACAGAATATAATTTATTTTTATATTAGGTGCATGAATAGCAAAAAAGGAAAAAAAAGGGCCCTAACTTTAGCCAATACCACTGGATCAATAGATGGGTGATGGAATGAAGAAATACATCAGTGGAGACCTTGAACTGAGGGAAGGAGGAAGAACGCCAATTAAACTGAGGGATGATTTTTAAAAAATCAACAGGAGTTGCATGAATTAAAATAGCACAAAAGGGAAATTTGTGGAAGCAAAACAGAGCGGACCAAAGAGATGGAGGGCCACCATGTGTATTCTGGACACTTACCCTTCATTGCTTAGAAAAGCAGCAGGGGTGGGGGGCTGGTTCAGTGGGTTAGAGGAAAGAGGAAGGCCTCTTTGGAGCAGGGGGTCCTCTCACGCTGCCTCAAGGAGGCAGTTGCAAGACCTTCCCTTCAAAAAGCTCTCCCAGGATCCCACCATGCGGTTGGGCCACGGCAAGCCCGTCTCTAAGATTCCCGTGTTAGGGCAAGGTGCAAAAGGGTGCGGGGCGGCTTCTCGGCTCCAGTGGTTCCTGGATGAGACAGATTCCCTGGGTGCCTTTCAGTTGGGCTTCAGCCCCGGTCATGGGACAGAGACCGCTCTGTCCGCCTTGGTGGATGTCCTTTGCCAGGACCCGGGCAGGGGGAGCGTGTCTCCATTGCTTCCGCTGGACCTTTCAGAGGCTTTGGATGCCATTCACCATGGTGCCCATCTGGGGCGCCTTTCTGGGAGGGGTCTTGGAGGCCCTTACAGTGGCTCCTATCCTTCCTGAGTGGCCAAACTCAGAATGTGGCATTGGAGGAATCCTGTTCGACCTCCTGGCCTTTTCCCTGTGGAATCCCTCAGGGTTCTGTGTTGTGTCCTGTCTTTTCAATCCTTGCCTAGGGCTTACATCAGGCGAAGAAAAACAGGTTCCTGGTCAACTCTGTGGCAAACGTTTGTTCCAGAGAAAGCCGGAACTGGTCTGGAACGATAATGGGCAGGATTTTGCTTTCTTTGCTAAGTCTCTCTTTCTTTCAGCGGCAGATCCTGAAAGGAGATCCAGAATCTGGGGCCAATCCTGAGGTGGATGCCTCATGTTCAAGAGGAGGAGGAGGAGGAGGAGGCCAGGACTCAGCTTTGACCAAACGCCTTCCCATCAAAGTCAGCTTTGACCAAGCATTTCCCCATCCCCATGCAGCCTTAGCCAGTGTACTTGCTTACCCCTTGCCAATAAAGGCACGTATTCATTGCATCCAACTGAGGGCATGGTTACAATATTGAAATAAATCCAGGCTGGATCAGGGTTTTTGAAATTCGGTTAAAGTCACATGGTTTGGGGGTTGGCGTATGCATCCTCTTGGCACAACGTTTGATCTGGATGTAAGACGTGTGGTATATTGGTTGAGGAGGCTACACAGGCTTTTAAAAATCATTTAAAAATTGACATTGTGGGGGCTCCAGCTTCCTGTCTTTTGCTCTCATGAAGCTATGCATGCCTGAAGTGAAACATCTTGACTCTGCACCAAAAAACTCTTTGGGGGGTTTTGTCCTGTGGCCACGCGTCCCCATGCTGGCTCCCTCTCGCAGCCGCGTGCTGACAACAATGCCACAGCCAACTTCGCCCCCGTGTCGAGGTGCCATGGGTGGCAAAGCCAAATGCCACGTGCCTTTGCTGTGGCGTGATTTTTAATACTGGTGGCGTTTTTTGTTTTGTTCCCCCCCCCAAAATAAAACTGGGATAGTGCTCAATCAGCGTTACAGATTAAAGAAAAATATACAGAACAGACCAAGACTGCTTATACTCCTGTTTCTCCCACCTTCTTCCGCCGAAAGCCTGCTGTCTCGGCTGCTCTACTTCTCTGGAGGAAGAAAGAAAGAGCAGGCAGGCCAGAAGGGGCTGCAGGGATTTTTTTTTCTGGGCCCCCAGTCATGTTTTAATCAAGTAATCTGTGATCCTGGCAAACCAATCCAATACTTGACAAACCTCACAGACACCATTTCCTCCAACACACGCAAAAATGATTTGAAATAAATAATGTTCATAATCGAGTTAAAATAAACAAGCCGCAAGCAGTTGTTGTTTTTAACTCACTTTCCAAACACTTCCCACTCAAATAAATGAACACTTAGCTGTACATCATGGAAAATTGATATTCTTCATCAATTTCAAGTGTGCAAAACCTGACACAAATCCAGGAATTGTTCGACATGTAACTGCACTCTGAGTTTTATTCTTGGGAATCCATTTTCTGACCCTCTGAAGTCATCCTCACCCACATTGTTGTGGGAAGGAAAAGGGACAGGAACCTTTGCACTTTCCCACTACCTGAGGTTCAAGAGAAAATGACTAAATCAAGGCCTTCTCAGTGCCAGGGGATTAAGGAACGCTGCATTTAGAGGCGACCACCCTGTGTGCACTAACTTGTGACTCAGTCCCAATGAATTCAGCAGGACGTTTGAGAAAGAGAAGGATCCGGAGGCCACACACTAGCGCAGCAGTACTGGCTTAGCACAGATGACATGATCCGAGTGAGGATCAGCCCCTCTCAGAGCTCAGCTGGAGGAGGCAAGGCCAGGGGTGCGACCTCTCTTCCCATGCCCACTAGACAAACCTAGCCGTGCCCAGTCACTGCCACATACAGGTGCCCGGAGCCGTGAACGTCTGCACGACAGCCATAACCTTCTAGAACAAAGAGACTCCTCCTGCCTGTGTAGATGAAACTCTCCATACATTTCAGCAAGCCTTCAGGGCCAAAATGTAATTTGCTTCTTGTGGGAGGGGGGGAGGCAACGAGTGTGATTGGGCCAGAGCACACAAAGAGCAAAGGTCTCCATTGCCTTATGGCCCTTTCCTGGCCTTCCGGGTGGAGTTGAAATGGTGTCTCGTTGGTTAGTCGCAAGAGGTTGAAACTTTATGGACAGCCTTCCCAAAAGGCTACACACATTTTCATTACACATGCGAACCCGATTTTGACAGAAAGACAGGGCACACATATTTGCACAATGAATTGGAGACAGGCCTCACAAGGTCCAAGCCCTGGGACCATCTAAGGAGCAAGACCATTGGCATCATCTGCCAGACCTCTTAGGCTGCCTTATTTCCTCTACACTTAGTCACAATCCTCACAGTAAGTGGGACAGAAGTGGAATTTTCCAGGAAGATCCTGTTGTGGCAAGCTCTCTCAGTTGCCATGTTTGAGCACGGTTTAATCTTGAACGGGCATGGAAAAGACACCTGGTTTACAAAAGACCTGGTTCTGGTGGAAACACAAACTGATGGGACTCATCCGTTGATACAGATCTGCTCAACTGCCTGCATTTGGCTTCTCCTCGCAGGGGGTAATGGCGTCGGTGTCACATTCCTGCCTGTCCCTTGGTGGCTTCACCAAGCAAAGGGCTGCCACCAGTTGATTACATCAACATGGTTTATTATTAATCCACCACAGAGGCCCAGGCCATGTGTCATTTTCAGAAGAACCAAATAGAAGTTGTTTATTATCACAGGTGATGAAGATGCAATCGACGTCTTCACCTCTTAACCAAACATCCCCACTTCATCCACCCTCAACCGCCAACCCTCTCTCTCACTACTCCCCAAACTCCGATGCCCTGATCTCCCTCTATCTCCTCTCTCTCCCCAAACTCCAATGCCCTGATCTCCCTCTATCTCCTCTCTCCCTCTCATTCCAGAGACTATTATATCTCATCACCTCTCCAGCACTCTCATCGGTCTATGCAAAGAGTGCATTCATATTCATGACATGGGCAGATGCCACCATTGGTGATAGGGAGTCGTCACTGGTCCCACCCTCTGCTTGTAACTTGCTTGCTGAAATGCCCATCCCAGTCCCACTCTCAGACCTTGGGCAGCTCCAAAAAAGGCCTTCCAGCTGCCCTGGAAGCAGCCGAGATTTCCAAGGGATGGCAAAATGCCACCGAGAGACAGGAAGCCTCCCCCTCTGGCAGCCAAAGAGATGGAGGTCCTCCAGCCAGTCGGGAACGTCGGACTCAGCCTGGCTGACAACAACATGTCCTCAGGTCCAGCTTCCCCGGGGTTACCGGGAATACTCCAACCCCAACATGCAGACAAGATGCAAAGGTGTGCATATCTGCCCCCGACCCCATGGGAATGGGGTGAGATACCAAATATCCCCTGCAAGCAGCCTCTAGTTGGGGCATCTAGAGATCCTCAGGAAGGATCAGAGCCACTCACCCCACTAGTTAGCCTCTCAGGGGATCCACAACCAACCAGCAGCACCCTGGACTCTTCTTCCAGCCTTGGCTGTGCACACAGAGCCAAGCACTCATGCTTACTACACACGCCCGGGCACTTGGGAAGAAAGACAACAAAGAGCCATGCCAGAAGGACCACCTCCAGGGCCAAATGGGAATGGGAGGACCTCAGCCATGATGGGGCAGGTGGTGCCACGGGGCCAGGCCTGCACAGAGCTCCCCTCCCTCTGGGTTTGAACTTCAGTGTAAAAAAATAAATCAGCAAAGCATTGCGGCAGCCAGTGGCAGGTTGTAAGTGTGGGGAGGGGAGCCACAAGGCATGGGGCAGGCAGTTGCCTGGAGTTCCTTCCAAGGGGGGGAGGTGTTTGTGTGTGTGTGTGTGTGTGTCCCTTCCAGGGGGGGGAGGTGTTTGTGTGTTTGTGTGTGTGTGTGAAATCAGGGTTCCTTCATATGGAGGGGAGGGGAGAGTGGGAAGGACCGGGCAGAGCCAAGAGAGAAGAACAGTGGGGAAGGAACAGCCCCTGGAGGAACAGGTGTGGAGGGACCAAGGACAGGTGGGAGCAAAAGGCAGGGAACGAATGGCGGGAGACCTCTTCCAGGAGACACTCACCCACCACAGAAGACGGGGAGAGAGATGCCGGTTCTGCGCCCAACATCCCGTGCTTTGCCAAAGGGCCCAGGAAGGAACTAACACGAGGGCACCTCTCTGCCGTCTCTGCACCTGGAGGTGGCAGCCTCGTGCCTTCGGTGGCACTGCCTGAACGGCTCAGGTGTTGCTGCAGGTGCTTCCCTCCTCAACAGCCGTCTGCTGGCTGTCCCTGCCAAGACGTGTGCTCCGGTAAGGGGACCCACCTAGGAAGTGGCCAGTGAGGCTTGGGAGCTGCCAGGCCAAGGGAAGTGGTCCCTCCAGGCCCGCCATCTTCTAGGGCACAGAGAAGGCCAAGGGGCACCCGGAAGCTGTGCTGCAGAGCCAGCCTTCTGTAACTCCGCGGGAGAGGCAGAGGGCAGCGGGGCCACACAAACAGGTCCTGTGTTTCATCTCACCTGCTGCTTTTGACCACCACACTCCTCGATGGCATCGGCACCCTCAGTGTTTGCCCGACTCCAGTGAGTTTCCCGTCGTGCCAACCAGGCCCATGATGAGGGGCCGGCTGGAGTGGGGAGGGAGATGCCTAATTCTGGCCCACCTTCAACACCATTAACTCAACCACATTCCGTCCTACACCTTCCCCTCCCCATGCATTGACATTCAGTGGCTTCTTACCCAATGAAAAGATTATGTATTAATCTGACGTTCCTGCAGGTTTTCTTGACCAGAGGCTTTTACGTTCTTCTCAATGGACAGGCAGGTCAGCAACTCAGCATATTTTTCAAGCATTTAAGGGGGTCTCCTCGACAGCATCTTAAAAAGCAGAGACCTCACCTTGCGAACAAAAGTCCGAATAGTCAAAGCTATGGTTTTTCCAGTAGCGATGGATGGAAGTGAGAGCTGGACCATAAAGAAGGCTGACCGCTGAAGAATTGATGCTTTTGAATTGTGGTGCTGGAGGAGGCTCTTGAGAGTCCCCTGGACTGCAAGGAGAACAAACCTATCCATTCTGAAGGAAATCAACCCTGAGTGCTCAGTGGAAGGACAGATCCTAAAGCTGAGGCTCCAGTACTTTGGCCCTCTCATGAGAAGAGAAGACTCCCTGGAGAAGACCCTGTTGTTGAGAAAGTGTGTCGGCAAGAGGAGAAGGGGATGACCGAGGATGAGATGGATGGTCAGGGTCATCGAAGCGACCAACATGAATTTGGTGCCAAACTCTGGGAGGCCGTGGAAGACTGGAGGGCCTGGCGTGCTCTGGTCCGTGGGGTCACGAAGAGTCGGACATGACTTAACAACTAAACAACAACCTCTTTGTTCAGAAAAAGGCCTTGTTAGAGCATCTACTATTATAAGACGTACCACATCTTAGTCTTTTGAACGGTGCTTTCCCCTTCATGACCTCAGAAAAGGGAACATTTCTTCCTTTAAGCAGGAAAACCCAAAAGCATGAGCACAGAGTGCCTGTCTGTGGGCTCGCTG